TTTCAGCGCAATTAGCCTAATGGGGTCCGGGCCTGTGAAGAACTGTAATGTTTAGCATTGCTCTGAAGTTTAAAGCACGTCAAAATGAAGGACAAGAGGGGTGTAATGCAGGAGAAGAACCCATGTATCACCGCAGACTTGCACCATGCTCACCCAGACAAACTATTTAATTAGATGCATTAATAATTGAACTAATTAGCTCCCATGCGTCTGGCAAATGAAGAGGGAACCCGGAGCTTCACTTGCACCTCATCAGCTGATTAATTAGTCGGTTGATCGTTAGCTGTCTTGACGGCCTATGTGCGATCAGATGAGAGGACGGATAATGAGGGAATTGTCGCTCGATGGTGCTGGTTAATTAGTGTGACCTGAACCAGGGGCCATGTTAGAACAGTTGTTTATTCCACTGCTTCTAATGAGGAGGATTTTAGGCGCGGGTGATCTATTTGCAAAGCAGGATGCAGGGTTGTTTATGGACTGGCCTTGAAACTACCCCCCTTATTCTCTCTATAATGTTCCAATAATCTATCCGCAGGGACTAATGAAGTGTCTGTGGGGATAAAGATTTACTTTAAATAATGACCTTAGGATAGTTTGTGGTGTTGTGATTCCTAAATCCTCGATATAGTGATTTACAGCAGCTCTAGGACCCACTAGTGAGGTCCTATTTAGATTTAATGCTATTTCTTTTATTATTCTACTGATAATACATGGCCCTGGAAGTCTGTGGGGGGTCTTTTAATAAGTGCGTCACTTTTTATCTTGGCTGCTGCTAAGGATTTAGCTTGGCAAATCCAATCTTTCCACACCGGCCTCTACAAGGGTGGGATATCAGCCCAAAAATAGGAAGAAAAAGCTAACAAACTAAAAGGTTGTTATGAAGATAAGTTGAGTGAGGATATTCACTGTTTTGGACGCAACAAAATGGATGTTATTTGTCAATACAGGAATACAAAGACAGCTAAGCTAACTCCTCAGTTGAACGAAAGTTATTCCATAATTCATTAAAGGTCAGCTATTATGCAAAATCCTCTTCTTCATGTCTCTTCTACATCAACATGTGTCCCCTCTTCTTCATGTCTCTTCTACATCAACATGTGTCCCCTCTTCTTCATGTCTCTTCTACATCAACATGTGTCCCCTCTTCTTCATGTCTCTTCTACATCAACATGTGTCCCCTCTTCTTCATGTCTCTTCTACATCAACATGTGTCCCCTCTTCTTCATGTCTCTTCTACATCAACATTTGTCCCCTCTTCTTCATGTCTCTTCTACATCAACATTTGTCCCCTCTTCTTCATGTCTCTTCTACATCAACATTTGTCCCCTCTTCTTCATGTCTCTTCTTCATCAACATGTGTCCCCTCTTCTTCATGTCTCTTCTACATCAACATGTGTCCCCTATTCTTCATGTCTCTTCTACATCAACATGTGTCCCCTCTTCTTCATGTCTCTTCTACATCAACATGTGTCCCCTCTTCTTCATGTCTCTTCTACATCAACATGTGTCCCCTCTTCTTCATGTCTCTTCTACATCAACATGTGTCCCCTCTTCTCCATGTCTCTTCTACATCAACATGTGTCCCCTCTTCTCCATGTCTCCTCTACATCAACATGTGTCCCCTCTTCTTCATGTCTCTTCTACATCAACATGTGTCCCCTCTTCCTCATGTCTCTTCTACATCAACATGTGTCCCCTCTTCTCCATGTCTCTTCTACATCAACATGTGTCCCCTCTTCTTCATGTCTCTTCTACATCAACATGTGTCCCCTCTTCTTCATGTCTCTTCTACATCAACATGTGTCCCCTCTTCTTCATGTCTCTTCTACATCAACATGTGTCCCCTCTGTGGAAAGAGACTCTGAAAGTTTCAGGAACAAAGATTCTCTCTCTTTTTGTCCTGATCCAGGGTAATGCTGCAATGATATTTGATATTTGGAGCCAAACACTTCAGAGACATGTTCTGTATCTGAGACCTGTAATATATTGATGAAAAACAGTATAATAGGGGACCTTTAAGACAATAATTACTTATTTTTCTGCATTTCTGCACGATTACACAAACGTTTTCAAACTCCTTTTTATTATGGTAGTGAAACTGAAATATTTTAGGTTTGTTTAAGTTATTTGAAAAGACTATTCCCCACAACAATGAAACCTCCACCCCTCCACTCATATCAGATTGGTACGGTCTAACTCCCCTACACTTTAAAGCCTCCATGTTTAAAGCCCATTGGATGATCACTTCCTGGTTTGCAGTTTGGACACCAGCAGGTAACAAGGAGTGGAATTCATTCACAAACATTTTGGTTGCTAAAACTGAAATATAATCAATAAACTAATGTAAGTGGAATATAATAATGAATGAATTGAGATCTTATTTCATATACAATGTTAATGGTGACAGTACACATTGAAATGATCTGAAACTACTTATGTTTGCAGAGTAGCATGCTATACCCACATTTAAAGAATGCCATTAAAAGGCCAGGTGACAGACTCCAAACACTCAGTGGAAGATGGGTTAGTAGCATACAGATTTGGGACATGAGATTATCAGGTACAGAAAGAGAGATGTAAGGTGTCCCCAGACAGTCTAATGGCGCTTTTCCACTGCAGGGCCTCGCTCGGCTTAGTACGGTATGGCTAGGCCTTGTTAGGCCTTGTTAGGCCAGGCTCACTTTATGCTGCGTTTCCATTACAGTTTAGGAACTGGGGTAGTAACTATAGTAACGCAGTGCAGGCGGAGCCGTGACGTCTTCTTCAATGCGAAACACAAAACCAACATCAGCTGTTAGCACTCAGAGCTCACAGCTCCTCATATCTGTTCAGAAACTAGACAAAAGTGAAACAAGTACAAACCACAGACTGTCTGTGTCATGGAGAATACAGTCGCTGGTTTATTTATGTCTGTATAGGCCGTTGTTGTGAGTGTGGACAGTCGGAGCATATATAACGTTAGCTTAGCCGATCTCCATTCAGAAAACACGCATTTTAAAAGGTTTTTCGCCTGCCGTCTGTCTGCAGACTTGTCAAAGCATTAATTCATGGTTTTTACTAACCGGTATCAGTATGTTGTTACTTCGGCATCATTTTGAAACGTACTTTTAGTACTTTTAGTACTTTAAGTCTATTTTGATGCTAATACTTTAAAGCAGAGGTCTTCAACAGGGGGTCCGCGACCCCCAGGGGGTCCGCGGATGTACTGCAGGGGGGTCGCGAAATCTTTGGTTGATTAGACAATTATTTATATTTCTTAAAAAAAAAAAATTCAATTTTTTTTTCCCCCCACAAATTGAAATGTCTTTAAATGTACATTAACATGAATCCAACATATTGTAGCGAACGGAGAAATGGAGGCAGAAGACGTTATCTTTTAGTCAGCAATGCACGCATTCAGCACACAGTAGCTATCTCAAGCTAGGCGCCGGTTCACTCACAGCAGGAGACTACCCCGGACCTGTCCCACCAGGCCTCCTGTACACAAAGGTACATGTATTGCTGCTGTGCCAATCACGAGGCTCTGTCAGGTTCCCCGTGATTGGCCGAGAGCCTATTCAGTCCCCAGTTTACTAAGGACCCAGACACAAGGACGCACGCTGCAATATTATTGAGAAGACCATACCTTTATATATATATATATAAAAATGGATCGTTTTGTAACTCGACCAAAACAATCCACAAGCACAAGAGAGATACCATCCACCTCAGAAACCACCAGTGAACATGCAAGTGGCGAGGCGGAACCTGCTGCTGATGTAGCAGCTAATAAGGGTAAGCGCAAACGAGAGAAGACCCGGAAATATGCATATGCCATCCACAGATTGTTTGAGGATTCACTGTCCCTTCTACATGTATGTTTAAAGTTAAAACTTGTATCTGTGAATTATTTTAATAGCTCTGTGTTCCGTGCAAGTTGTATGTTTATAAATGGCAGTGGCACGGCCACCCTGTACCTTGCACATGTTTAAAATAAAAACATGAATATATTAACCAGTGTATTATTTGAATAGCTTAGTATTGAATGTACAATAACAGAGTAGCTATGTTTATACACGGCACGGCCCCGTTTAATATAAAACACAATTGTATGCCATACATATAGGCTAGTAGGGGGGTCCCTGCTCCAGCTCTCCATCAGTTTGGGGGTCCCTGGCCTGAAAAACGTTGAAGACCCCTGCTTTAAAGGTAGTGTAGGCAAGAATGGAGAAACCAGCTCGAGTGCGCTATTTGAAAGTACGCAGCAGAAAATCTGCCCCTTCCTTCTGACTTCCTTACAGAGCACCTCCTCCAACACACACGAACGCGCACATGACCAATGAGGGCACGAGATAAGTTTGTGCACAGATGGAAGGCTGACAGGCAGGTAGGCCATCCAGTTATTTTAGCCGGGCCGGCTCAGATGATTGGTCGTGCTTTTTACAGCGCCACGGCTTCCACAGATGAAATATTTGTATGTATTTATTGTCAAAGCATTTAATGTATTCATTGCTATCGGGATGTTCATTCCATGGAATATAACTAAAAGTGTTTCTGAAGTGAATTAGCCTACCCTACCTTTTAAGTAACATTTTGAATACAGGACTTTTACTTGTAACAGAGTATTCCTACACCCTGGTACTTCTACTTAAGTACAAGATAAGAGTACTTCTACCACCTCTGTGTATCCCAAGAAAAGAAAGAAGACACACTGCACAGGAACATGAACACACTGAACTCAACCCACGGTAAGCCTGCATCTGTCGTGCAGAGGCCGGGCTGTGCCTGCATGGCGCCCCAGAGATAATTGGTGTCCTTGGAGTTGAATAAGCTCATTCTAAAGCACCTCAGGCCCGTCCTGGTGTGTGACTGTCTATTGAATAATTGATTCCGAGAGGGAGGGGGCGGGCACTATCAGATCTGAGCATAATGACTTTATATAATTAGCACGCAGCGTTGAAAAAAAACAAAACATTTGACTGTGGGAGTTTTTTTCTTTGCAGAGGGAGGAGGCAGAGAGAGGAGGTTCAGTTCTCAGAGCCGCAGCCTGCAGTCACACATGCTTCTGCTCTGACATCAGCGATAAGACGCACAGCCTCTCCGGATCTCAGCACATCTCTCCTGCAGGCAAGGTGATACCCGGGGACGCTTTGCATCCATCCGCCGGGCTATTTTTATTCATTTTAAGACCCAGAAAACGCGTCTCTGTGGCGGTTTTTCCTCTCTTTGGAGTAATGAGTCGCGAAGTTTGAGCCCCTGTTTTCCCATCGCTCTCGGGGTCTTATCTCCTGTTGGTGGATTGTTGTTTTCCCCAGAAAGCATGGTGCTGGACAAGGAGGAGAGTAAGTACTGAGCGCTGAGATGTGCCTTTCTGTTCAGCGGTTACTCCCCCTCTCCAGGACAGCAGACAGGGCTTAGAGGAGAGAACGGTTGTGTGTAACTCTGCTACAAGACTGAATTAACATTGAGATGTCAGAACAATTATTTGAATGTCAGTTAGTCTGTGAAATACTTTTATTTAGATTAATAATGACACTGTGTACCAACAGGAAACTACTGCTGTGTTCTTATTATGGTTTTATGTTGTCCTTGATATGATTTTATTTCACTCTGATATAGACCTATGTGTGAATAAAGTGACAGTTAAGACATTATGTAGTCCCACTATGACCTTAAACACATTTGTCCAAGTGTTATTGTCCTATTTAGGGTTTAGCAGTTTGCATTAACTGTACGTGATTTAATGTGTGATATTCCACAGTGACTTTATTATGTATAACGTGTTTTCATAGCATTGTATCTCCAGTGGTGAAATACAACAAGTACTGCACTTAGGTAAAGTACAAGTACCTCAATTATTTACTTGAGTATTTTCACATTATGCCACTTTATACCTACTGTATGCTCCCCTACATTATGTGTTGCATATTTCATCAAGTTTTAAAACCAAGCAGTAATAACGAAATGTGAAGCATTGTATCATTTACAAAGAAATGTAACAATTACATTTTTTTTCTAAATGAATAATACATTAATATATATTATTATAGTTTAAGCTACCCAGTAGTATATCAAGTAATTGAAATAAGCCCCACTTTTACCAATGATGAACACATGCATCAATAATTTATAGTATGGTGCCTACATTCTGCACAATGAGTTATTTTACTTTTCGTACTTAAAGTGTATTTTGATGGTAATACTTTTACTTAAATACAATATTAGATGCTGGACTTTTAATTGTAACTGAGTATTTTTACACTGTAGGATTAGTACTTTTACTCAAGTAAACAATCTGCTAACTGCTTGCACTGATCTGATCTCCTGTATGAAGCTTCTTTGATTCCTATTTTCAATATCCTTAGTGGTTTATCATGATCAGCTTTCTGATTGTCCTCTCCAATCTTTGTCTCCCTGCTGTTTGAATCCTCCAGGTGTGTCTCTCGTGTCCCTCCAGTCCAGAGAGAAACCTCGAGGATGTGCCGGCTGTAACGGCAGGATCCGGGACCGCTTCATGTTGCAGGCGCTGGACCGGTTCTGGCACGAGGACTGTCTGAAGTGCTCCTGCTGCGACTGCCGCCTGGGCCGCGTCGGATCCACGCTCTACACCCGGGCCAACCTCATCCTCTGCCGCAGGGACTACCTCAGGTAACATCAACATTCAGAGGCTTTATTCTCTTATTACTGCACTGTTAGTGTACCGTTTTATTATTATGCTGCTGTGTTTATTGGATTTTTGTAACTCTGGCACAACAATGTCCTTCGGGATAAATAAAGTCCTCTTGTCGTATCTTATGCACCGCAGATACAGTGTAGTTATGGCAATGCAAATCTTAAATCCCAGGCTCCTTCATCAATGGGAAATATATATATATATATATATATATATATATATGACATAAACAATAAGAAATAGTGCAAGAAGAAACAGAGAATTCTGCAACTGACCAATGTGCCGGCATAAGAAGCAAACTATATACATGTCAAATAGAATAGGGTGAGTTAAAGTTAATACTGTACAAGGATAGAATACTGCTTATTGTAGTAATAAATTATATTTGAAATGCAAACAGAGGAAAGCTTATGAAGCCCTCTACAGGTGCATCTGGACTTTAAGGAGTATTTCACCCCCAAAATGACCAATTGTTTATCAATGACTCCTTAAACTACCTTAAATTCTTGAAGACATTTTTGTTTTTGTTCCATGTTTCTACGATACACGAAGGATCCAAAAATGTAGAAGAGTCGTGGTGAATAGAAGTAAATGGCAGCTGTTTTAACAACAGCTATAAACAAATATTCGTTCACCAACTCTCACACCACTTAAGGCTAAGCTGTTTAATCCAAGGCTTATTTATGCAGTCCTATGCTTACTACTTCCCCTTGCTAATTGAAACACTTTTCCTGCAGAAGTTAATTCACTGTAAAGGCATGCAAGAAAAGTTGTCTTCAAGAATTCAAGGTAACACTGGGTTAGTAATTGATATACAATGATCTTGTTGTGGGTGAATAATTCCTTTCAAGATATAAAAGAAATCCAGCTTGAAAACAAATCTTAAAAACTGCTGTTGCCATCATAGAAGTGAAGTGCTGAGTTTGCAGTATGTTAAAGTAGATACAGTATCAGATTGAAAGAGCTAGATCCACTCAGGATAAACAGTCTGATATTGTAGGATATTAGAGAGACTGTAGGAACAGAGATTTGAATTTGAATCTGAGAGCCACCTATTTACCACCCAGCAGAAACTGAAAAATTAAAGTGTGCAGATTTGTAACTTTTACAAGGACAGCTGTAGACGTCAATGTTTTACATGAGAAACGTACAAAGACATTTATGCATATGTACCATTTCAACACAACAGCTTTCAGTTAACTCCTTGAACATAAACGACCCTTACTTTTGTCAACTCAGATTAAACGCTGCCGAACCTTCAGGCTAATTTAGGAAAACCTCACAGGGTGTGTCATGTTTCTGAGAGATTTTACACAACAAGTCCAAGCAGGTTTTACCCGTTATTTAATAAGCTTGATTCATCATTCTGGGACTCTGCAGTTTGTATTGAAGTCCTTAATGGACACAGTATTTTTTAAGTTTTCTTCTTATAATACATTCCATTACATGTTAGACGCTTTTATCCAAAGCAACTTACATATTCAATACTATGAGCAATCCCCACAGGAGCAATTTGGGGTGAAGTGTCTCAGGGACACAACGACATGTTGACTGCAGTGGGACTCGAACTTGCTATCCTCTGATTCGAAGATCAGTGCACTAACCCACTGCGCCACACGTCTCCCGTAATACCTGAGAAGGGTTTATCTTGTGTTGTCGTTGGACGTGTGGTTGGCTGCGGGAATGTGAGGGAGACATATTTTGTCCTGGATTATTGATTGATAATATAAGTGTATGGAGGAGTATGAGGTATATAAATAAAAAATGTAATCCATTATTATTATTATATGAATGAATACCTGAGTTTGTGTCCAGTTTGAAACTATGCCTCAATATTCACTTACAAGTACAGTACATTATTATTTATGTATTATACATCCTCAAGGTAAATGACGTAACAACCTTCTTTTTAAAACCCAATTCTTGATTTTTTGGCTTACCTAACCAACTAGTTTTGTGGCTTTTATTGCATTGCTCACCATGAGTTTAAAATGGCGACCTCAATCCGGGACATATTCTGTTTCATTTGAGCAGTTTAATTGCATAGGGATGTAATTATGTAGAGATAGGGTTGCATTTTAACACAATTTTAAACAATCAAGACACATAATGATTTCTTTAGGGATCATTACAGGTGCCTGTAAGCCGATGTTGTTAGCCTTAGAGAAGGGAGGCTGTTATGCCCTGTCCTTTACGCTTAAATAAGCGAAGCTAACTGTCTCCTGACTACATGTTTAGTGGTATCATGTTCCTAAGTTCTAGTTAACTGTATCTTTAAGTACATTTGTCGTAGTTAAGAAAACATCCCTCTGTCTGTCTAAATTATCTTCCATTTTAATGGGGGCAGGAGGTCCATAACACTTCACACACTCTTAAGAAACTCTTCAGATAAAGATCAATGTTTAAGATTGTCTAAACTCCATCTCTAATGCCTGTGAATCGCCACAGAATGAATGTATGACTAAGTACGTTTAAATACAATGCAGTGTTTTGACCATGGACACCACTTTCTCACAAACCCAAACGCCGGCTCTAACGGCCCCTCTGAGTTATGTAGCCTTCCTTTTCTTGCCTGAAATAACGACGTCTGGTGTCAGGTCAGCAGGAGAACTCCTGATATCTCAGCCACATTGCTGAACTCATGTGTTAGTCTCATGTACAATCCAGCTGGATTTGGTTGGAGCTAAGTCTCTCATTAGCTGCGCTGCACTTAAGAGACTAAAACCCCTTTTGACAGTTAAATTGGCTAGATTGCCTCCTGTTTTCCTCATCATCGCGAGGGTGCAGACCAAAAGCCTTTGAAGAGCAGGATTAAAACCATGTGATTTCTTTTAATTGGACCATTAGTAGAGAATTAGCATTGAGCTGCGTAGCCTCGTTAAGGAGGAGGAAAAAACCCCACCAGGTGCTCAGGACTCGGCCTCGTTAGATCAGAACATTTCTCTTAATTAGGACTCGCTTTTGTTCCCGCGTTGGTCACTCGTTTGATGACGTTCTTTCATTTGTCGTCCCGAGCTCTGGGAGACACATGCTCTCTCTCTCCACCCTCCTTTTTTCAGGGATGTCATTGTTCATAGCTAGTCCTCCCAAACCCCCCTTTTCATCTACTGAAATATGGCAGTGGTGGAAAAAGTATTCAGATTCTTCACTTGAGTAAAGTACTAATACCACATTGTTAAAATACTCAACTTCAAGTACAAGTTCTGCTTCGAGAATGGTAAAAGTAAAGTATTCAAGTAGGATTAAAACTATTTTTCGGAAGGGGATGAATAGGAATATTTTTAGTCTGTTCGGGGGCTTGAACCGGCGCTCCTTCAACTCCCAGTCCAAGCCCCTACTGACTGAACCACTGCCGGACATTTTCTAAAGATATTTAAATATATTAAATCAAAAGCAGCAAATCTTCACAATTAAAAAGCTGGAAATATGAAATATTTTTGAACAAAAACAATTGTAATTCTAATTAATTTCCTGTTAACCGACTCATGGTTTTAGTCACTTTAACATAATGTCGGATGCTTTAATCGATACCAAATAATCATATTCTAAAAGTCTCTCCTATAAGTATTATGTTTGAAAATCTGAATATAAAAAGTAACTAGTAAATACATCTGTAAAATAAATATAGTGGAGTAAAAAGTACAAATTGTAGTATAAAGTAGTATAAAATGAAAATATTCGGGTAACATTCAAGTACAGTACTTGAGAGTAAATGTACTTGGTTACTTACCACCACTGGAGCATAATATTTGTAATGTTCGTCAGACCCTTGAGAAATGTTTGTTTGTTCTTTTGGAGGTGAATGCGAGGTGAAGCAATCTGCAGCTGGTCAGCTCTGAGTCACAGAGCATTCAAACACAACACAGGGTTTGTTCTCAGGTAGCTTAAGGACATTACGTTCAAATGTGTTGGATAAATTGTTAGTTTCAGAAGAGTGCCTGTAATAAGGACGGACTAAAGCCCCCATGTGGCACTTAAATAAGTGACATTTCCATATAAAACGTGACATTTTCATATCAGTGAATCCTATTTTGGCTGCTCTCTATCAGCAGCCGATATAATGGAAAAATGATATCCAGCTTGTGAAAGCTATTACATTTGACACAGAAATCCCCTGGTTCACATCAAGTGAAGCATTTAAAGTCTCCTGCAGCAACAACAGAAATGTGTTTATAAAAGATCTTTGAAAATCCTGCATTACTGAGTCCATCGTTACATGTGAGCGTTCACACTCAGATTATTCTGCATTTCTAACACTTTAATCACATCATGTAGACCAATGGAGCCTCAATTAGCCATGCTCACATACCTTTCCAAAAAGGTTCTTACATATGACTCAAGCTCTCTCTGAAACATGCACAAATACGCATTACGTGAATGCTTATTTTAAATATGTCGAATATCAATAATTGATACATGTCTGCAGCCCAGATGTGTTCACTGTACTGGCTGAATGAAAGGAAGGAAGATTGAAGTTCCTAGCAGGCAGCTAACGATGCTCACAGCAAAAACAGGGATGCTATTAAACACTTTTTCTGTATGAAGAACTTCGAAATGTTGTACGTGATTCTTGTTGTTCTGACTTTGTATTGATTTCACTTTTTTAGTTGCTCTGGACAAAAGTGTCACATAAATGAATTGTTTTTGTTCGTCCCGCAGCGGGAACATTTACAGAGTTACAGCCGCATAGGTACAGTTCTTATAGTAGAAAGAGAATACTTACATATGATGTAAAAAGGCAAGCACACATTATAAAATAAAAACAAATACTGTGTAAAACAAGTAGTAGGAGCAGAATTGTACATGTAATGTTATCTCTGAGCGGCCATTGGCTAGCTAGCACAGCTAATAAACTTGGACTTACATTACTAGCTTTAAAATGTAGCACAAAGAAGCTTGTATTACAAAACAAAACAATCCCTTCAACGCCTCAAACTAATTAAAACAGAAAGCAAAACCGCCCCACAGTTTTCTTAAATACATTTGTATTTCGGGGGCGACTGTGGCTGTGATAATCATAACAGGTCATGACAACATTTTTGGTTTGAAGTCAAATGTCTCCACAACTACTGGATAGATTGCTTTGATATGTGGTTCATACTAATTCCCCAAAGGAAATGTATCCTACTCCTACTCAGAATTACAACTAAGGGGCTATAGGGAATGTTTCCTCCCGCTTGGCTGCTCTTAATTACGTACAACATCCACACAATATGATGCAAGCTCTGCATTAGCAGCAGCAGCAATAATCCATCAATAATCTGTAGGAAATGCAGTTGTTGAACTACTTTTCTGCTGTTATTTCAGTGTCTTTATCCCTCTTTAGCTCTTGGGTGAAATGTATTTTAAGTGCGCCCAGACTACAGGTCTGCTTGTCGCCCTCTTCCCTCTCAGGCTCTTCGGGGTGACGGGGAACTGTGCAGCCTGCAGTAAGCTGATCCCTGCCTTTGAGATGGTGATGAGAGCCAGAGACAACGTCTACCATTTAGACTGCTTCGCCTGTCAGCTCTGCCGCCAGAGGTAAGATTAGGGCAGCAATTAGCCGGGGAGATCAAATTCAGTTGACTTATCTTCGAGGTGCACTAGTGAGTGAGCTCACCGGTCATTACGAGCATACCAGCGATGCATTGTAAGCAGAAAGTTTACTGCACTTTTAAACCCTGTTGGAGTTAAAGATGGTTAATCAGCAAGCAATCATGCAAGATTAATTTGGCCTGAGATGCTCCACTGGGAACTCATGATTCAGATCCATATTTCTATATTCCCTCTCTGCAGATTCTGCGTGGGAGACAAGTTTTTCCTCAAGAACAACATGATCCTGTGCCAGCTGGACTACGAAGGAGGCCATCTTAACGGCAGCACGGAGAGGCAATGAGAGGTAATATTCAGATGTCGATGAGTTACGGTCCCGGCAGCTGCTCTGACAGCTTGAACTAAAACATGCACTGGGATATCTGGAAGATATACAAGTGAGCTCACAAAGCTCATCCCAAATATGACCATATGTAGACATCAAACCCAGAGGCTGCGGACACTATCATCCATGTGAAGCATATTATCTTTGAAGAAGCATTACGTTGAGGCTGGATGTTCAGTTGGAAGGTGATGAATGAATCCATATTGTGCATCATGACAGGTTTGCTGACATCTAAAGCTTATATAAAGAAGGCTTAGAATCAGATGGGTCTAATTTATTACTGCTTTAAGATCTAACCTGTCCCCTATAATCCGCTCAATGAAATGGTTATGACACAAAGAGGAAACTCGTACATGATAATGACCCAACTCTGCAGCTTGACAGCGGTCAATGTGTGTTCTCCCTTGAAGAATCCCATGCTGATGTCTGGATAGATAAATACGAATGTAAAATATGCAGTTTTTCTACGGAGATCAAATATTTCAAAACAGTTGCCTCTCATTGGAAGCCAATGATTTGCCTACAGCTTTACATATGAATAGAAAGCCTTCTTCATAAGCAGAGAAATACATACACACAATGCAAATCATTGGCTTCCAATGAGAGATAGGAGTGAGCAGTGGTTGGCTGTGAGGGCAGATGTGAGAAGGGTGAAAGCAAGTGCAGCACACTCCACAAAATCCTCAATTAAAAAGGTTTCAGGGTTCAAAAACCTGCCATAAAGCCACCAGAAGCCCTCATCATTATGATACTAACAGGCAGGGTTCTTACGGTCATTAAAAACCTGGAAAAGTCATGGAAATTCAAAATGCTAATTCCAGGCCCTGGAAAAGTTATGGAAAACAATATTTTTAAATGATTTATATTTTATCTAATCGCTGAAATAGTAATACTATAACGATAATAAATACTGTACCGTATAGTAATGAAACGTAAAATGGCATTTAACTGTCGAGGTGTTTTGCTGGTGAGAGATTTTAGTTGCTTCAGCGTGTAGAAGCTAGCAAGCCTATTTGATTTGTTTTAGACAAGCACAACATGTTTCATATGCAGACCTTATTTTCCTGTTCCATGTTAAAATAAACCATTTTCAGTGCCGCTGAGAGAGTACATTTTTTTTGGTCATGGAAAATTAGGTGAAGGTCATGGAGAAGTAATTGGTGAAAAAGTGTATGAACCCTGAACAGTACAACTACACTTCATATCATTCAAAACACTACGCTGGATGTGGAAGCGGTGACTTTTACCATTTGTGCTGGCTTCCAGAGTTCATGTTTACACAGCTTTTTAGAAAACTATTTAACTTTTTATCATAAAAATCATGACACATTGAAACTTCACCAACTCTGGAGGTTTCATTACATTTTATGATTAACTGAGGTGCGAAATGAAGCATATTTAAATGTCATTCGCTGTATATTTTCTTTGGACAGCGTTAAATGGAAGTCTCCTTTTATAAATGTGGCTCCAGTGACGGTTTCCTGGATCCAGACGCTGAATCTCTTTCCAACTCTTCTCTCAAGACTCAAATAGCTCTGTTGATCTTGGATGTTCTTGTAGATTTATATAAGCTTTTGTCAAAATACTTTTAAATGTGGCCACTGGACCACTGCTTTTTATATATGTGTACTTTGCTTGGTTCCTGCCCTTCTTTGATGATAGAGTAACTTGTCTGACCTGACCTTCAGGGTTAAATGAGGATAGAGAATTAACACAATGACATGATATGAACAATCTGACTATGCATTAGAAATAACACTGGCACATTTATATTATTAATAAAACAACATGTAAGGTTTCCTTGTGCTTGACAAGACTTTGATTCTACTGTCAACTTTAATTCAACACTATAACTTGATTTAATCAGGTAGTTTTAAATAGAATAAATACAATAAAATATGGGTCTTCAGGGTGTCCGCGGGGTCTTAAAAAGTATTACAAGTTGATAAATCAATTTAACGAAATGGCATTTCCCAAGGTATTACATTCTGTAGCTTGTTTTCAATAAGTATATAAATGGTCCAAAGAGGTTGTATTCTACAGTCTGCCTGAATGTAATCATTGCGTAGGTGTGTAGTGTGATTCTGTGTAGTTTATTTATGGCATCCCGTTGGGTTTGACGTCATCTGAACAGGACATCGCACGCTCACTGCTTGATAGCGCGAAGGTGCGTTTACGCCGGTTGCTAAACAACATCGTTATGGGGAAATGCAAGTCTGCGTCCAAATGGTTGGAAGATAAGGAGGAAGGACAATCAATACTGCATATAGTCAATGTGATGTAAAGTGTGTCGCCAAGGTAACCGGTTAAAACTCCAAGTGGCGATGAGGTCTTAAAATGTATGGAAAGGGTCTTAAAAGGTATTACATTTGACTTCAGGATTCCTGCGTATACCCTGGTCTTAAAAAACCTCAGATAGGAACATTTTCGAGAGGCCTATTGTTCCTGTAGTGAGCCGAGCGTAATATCTCCTCTTTAAGGGGAGTAACGAACACAGCCTGATGTTGAGAATACAAGATTTTGCAAACATATGACTGTAAACACTGGAAGATGCAAGATTACTGTTACATGTGGTTACAATTAACTTATCTATAGCGACAGCAGGAAACAAACAAAGTCGCTGAGAGGCTGATGTTGTATGAAACGCTAAAAACGAGTACTTGCTGAGATCAAAACTCTGTTGAATTGTAAGTTTAATGAAAAATACGCGGTGATCAGACATTGTAATAATAATGATAATAATCATAAATCTTGCGGTCAACAAAGTCCCTGTGTCACACCCTCTCTTCCACACACACACCTCACGCAGGTGAACAGGATTATAATGAGTGTCCATGTGACCCAAGTCAACCAATCAATAGTGATCAAACAAATATCTTATATTAAAACAAAACACATTGCTATCCACGTTTCATGGCTCCTACATTATCTAAGACCTTTTCATGAACTACCTTTGAAGGGATGTGGGTGTATATTTCTTGGCAGAAGTCTGTTTATTATAAGTTATTCAATGCCTGCAGTTCTGCCAAGACTATTGTATACATATAGGTCAAACAGAGAATCTCCAAACAAAGATAATGTTGTAAAATGCAGTTTATACGTCCATTGTATGTCTTGGCTTACAGTGGCTCCAACTTATGTAAGACCATTGCATGTAAAACGGTCATACTTTGAGTTTTATATTGCCTTTTGTCTTGGAAATCTAAAAATAAATTGTATTTAGTGTGTTTTTCTAAAGGAGGAAAATATATATATTTTTTTTTATTGGAAGTGCCCTTGCATTACATTTTTTACATTACATTGCATTTAGCTGACGCTTTTATCCAAAGCGATTTACAATAAGTGCATTCGACCAAGAAGATACAAACTAGAAGAAAACAGAATCATATAAGTACATCAGGTTTCATAGAGCCAAACATTTCAAGTGCTACTCAACTGGCTTTAGGTAAGCCAGACCTTTATTAGTATATAAGTGCTTTGTTAGTAATTCTATCGCTCGAAGTGGAGTCGAAAGAGACGAGTTTTCAGTCTGCGCCGGAAGATGTGTAAGCTTTCTGCCGTCCTGATGTCAATGGGGAGCTCATTCCACCATTTAGGAGCCAGGATAGCAAACCCACGTGTTTTTGCTGATGGGAACTTGGGTCCCCCTCGCAGTGCGGGTGCAGCGAGCCGTTTGGCTGATGCAGAGCGGAGTGCACGTGCTGGGGTGTACGGTTTAACCATGTCCTGGATGTAGGAAGGGCCAGATCCATTCGCAGCATGGTACGCAAGTACCAGTGTCTTGAAGTGGATTCTAGCAGTTACTGGAAGCCAGTGGAGGGAGCGGAGGAGCGGAGTGGTGTGGGAGAATTTAGGAAGGTTGAAGACCAGACGAGCCACTGCATTCTGGATGAGCTTTGCCAACCATTCATTCATAATGTAGCACAATGTAGGAGAAAAAGTGCTTTTGTAGGATGTGTTTATTCTTTTAATTATCATCATTAGTTGTTTGGACTGCACATTGTACATCACTTCCGGCAATTGTCACCTGGGTGTGGTCTCTTGGTACTTAGTTTGCCTATTTAAAAGTATATGGGCTGTTTTTAAACTATTAGGGGGAACTAATATATGCTTTAGTGATGCTTTTTTATTAAACATTGTTAAACAACAACTTCAGCACAGATTATTTTTCAACGTGTCACAGTAAAGAGCCTAAGTTTGCCTTTTAGTGACTTCTTATTGGAAGTTTAGTCGCTAAACACAATTTATTAAGATTTCTGCTATGATTATTTCACTGCTGCACATACGTCTGATTATATGTTCCTATTAACCCTTTAAAATCACACGTTCTTCTCTATCCTCTGCAGATCAGAACAGGAAGACTCTGAGCCAGTTGGACTCTAAATCTCAGAGTCTTCATCAGCTTCCTGTTTCAGACTGAAGCATGTGTGGAAACAAAACTGATGGGACAAGTTTCCCTTGATTGAACTCTTTAGTAAAGAGCTGCTGGTGGAAACTCCCCTGAAATCTTTCTGATCTAACGGACCTGAGATTCACAGAGGAAGTGAAAGTAGAATCGGGAGGATATTTAATGATGATTCTGCTTTTTTTTTTAAACATTCAACAAATAATTTCTGTTCACCACACTGAAATAAGACACGAATGGAGGCAAGCCGCACATAGCATCAAGCAAGTCATCCATCACAGAGAAAATGCTAAGTTGTCTTTTTTAGACTTCTCTCTGATTGTGAGTCCATGAACTGTCCTCTGTGGTGAACCTCGCCCATCTGGCACGAAGGAAGCCGCAAAACAAATGAAAACATATTCCCAAATACTGTAAGAAATACAGTTCAACATCGGAGGAGGATCCACTGCTTCTTCTTCATAAATCTGAAGAATGGACAGAGATGAGTGCTGCTTCAGATCTCAAGGGTTGCCTTCTTTACTCATTAAACTGAATTTTGATTTCAGTCGTGTGCTCATTATTTATGCCCTGCGATCACTCAAAAATAATTGTGAGTACGCTCCAGACACCAACGAGAAAGTAATTTAAAGACATTTTTACAAAAGCTCTAAATACTTTCAATAATAATTTGACGGTAATTAATAATCAATTTAATTCTAAAGTGTTACAGAAACTATTACAATTCAATGATTGAATGTTACTAAGACGACTTGATCAGGTTGCCCTTGTTGAACATGTATTTTACTTGAGTCTTTTCATGCCAATTTTACTTCTACTAACCCAAAAATATAACAATATAATATATACTATTTTAAGTATTGTTTTAAGGGGCATTTGTTTGCTTTGAGTACACACAGTCATAACATAACAGTGTAGTTTTACATGATGTTTTGCAATTGCTAAATTGTTTTAACTAGGCTATGTACATAGTATGTATAAAACAATTAATTTGGCTTTGGCTTTGATTTCTAAAAAGTGTGTGGGTTACAGGTGTTCTCACATGTGCACGTGCAGGTGATAAATAATAGACTTTGGTATTTTAATAGCATTTTTCAGCAAGCAAGTGTTCATTTCAAATTGAATATGAAGCAGTAATTGTGTTGATGGTTACCATAGCTTTAAAAAGGCGGTATTTTGGCGCCACCCAGCGGTGAATTACATCTGGTACAGCATCTTCGCACTTCCGGTTCTCGAATCAATAAGGAAGTGCAACCGATGGATGAGAAACGACGTAACGTCTTCTCCTTTGCCTCACCGTAAACCCGTCAGATTTAACCGGTTCTTCCCCTCAGGACGGTCCCCGGTAACTCACCTGTCGTCATGGCAATGTCCATGTTCCAGAAGGTGACCCTCGCGACGTGTCTCGTGCTGTGCGTCGCGCTGCTGATGCCCAAAATTCTGCTGTCTCGCGGGAGGAAGGATGGTGCGGATCGACCGGACGGTGCGTCAACTTTAACGGGTTATTTATGTCTTTAACTCGATGTGTGGTGGATATTGACACGGGGGATTTAATGTTTATGATGTTATGGTTTTAAGTATGTGATTTAAAGAGTTTTTATTTCGTGAATTAGGCCACTGTGTGTGCTGAACATCACCGGTGTATCATCGCTCTTGCAGTTACACTTTCCTCCCTGAAGGGGGCGCCAAAGACACCTGAATTAAATGTATAGACACATTAAGGTTCAAGGTTCAAGGTTAGTTTATTTGTATAGCACATTTCAAGACACAGAGGCAATTCAAAGTGCTTCACAGGCATTTAACACATCATTAAAAACGAAACAAACAAACAATTCATAAAAGCGATAAAATAATGGTTGCAGCTGAAAGTGCAACGATAAGGCACGGTTAAAGGATCTCACGATAACCACATTTTGTTCCAGGCTTGTGGTTTATAAAAGCTAAAAGCTGCCTCAGCTAATGTAGTTCTGACTCTGGGGAGTAATCCCGCTCCTGATGATCTGATCATTAGATAAGAACAACTTTATCAATACCCAGCGGGGAGTTTCATTATACTCAATTAAAACAAGATTATTAAAATAAGATAAATGTGGTATTTCAATAACAAGCAAAAATAAATGTTATTGTAATTCATACATGGCTTATGTCGATGACAATCTTAGGTCCCAGGCTCCTCCAACAGTGCAACACTATACAAGTTTAACACATACAATAGTGCAAGTAAATACAATAACATAGAATAGAAGTAGTGCCATAAGAGTCTATATACAAATGATACATCATTTTTAAGTTGCAAACAGGTGAATGTTATGGATGTTCTTAGTTCAGTCCATTAAGATCTTGTTTACAGGCACGACTCACGACGACTTTAAACTCTCAAAACATCTCTTGTCCCTTCACAGATTACCCCAAAACAGTCATGATATGTATCAAAGTTAGATGTTGATATTATTCCATATGTTTTATAACCTCTACCTCCTCACCCTGCAGGTGGGGGTAACTTTCCTCCTAAGGTAAACCGTCAGGCGGCCCCTGAGGGTCGGGGTCAGAAGTCGGCCTCCAGCTTCTCCAGAGCTCAGAACACCGAGGCCAACGCCCGGGCCAAAGGAGCAGGAACCGGGGCCGGGACGGGGGGGAAGTCCAACCTGGCCGGACAGATCATCCCCGTGTACGGCTTCGGGATCTTACTCTACATCCTCTACATCCTGTTTAAGGTGAAACACTGCAGAATCAACCATGCCTGATTTAATAAACTCAAGACACAGAGTTGGTGTAAAAACTACTTCTTATTAAACGTTGTAAATGTAATCCTGTACATGTAAAACTAAAGTTGTTACATTTCTACAAAGACAAGACTATGCCAGCTCACAGTAACACATCTAACGTGTGTTAATGTAGTGAACATGTTTTTGGTGAGCTTTAAAGGTGAGTGTAAGATCGTTGTGGCTTTATGGTTAAAGTTCAGTTTTGAGAGTGGTATCAATCTTCTTAACTAGCTCCAGTGTTCCCCCCCCCCCAAAGGCCCCTTAACCTATTGGTACAAATAAGAAAATACATGCAAGTTCATGGCTACTAGACAACGTTCTTGAGTTGAGGATCTGTGGGGTTTATTCTCCCAAAAATATAATTTAGTATTTAGCAGACGCCTTATTCCAAAGCGACTTACAATGACCAATTACAGGGACTTTCTCCCTGGAGTAACTGAGGGCTAAGTGCCTTACTCAAGGGCACACTAGTAGTGGTGTTCCAGGCGGGATTTGAACTCGCAACCTTCCGACTATCAGCCCACCTCACTATCCATTAGACCACCAAAATCTAAAAATTGTCTGCCACAAAACAAATCAAGGTATGGGGAAACACTGCTCTCAGTAAGCAAGTGAATACCTGTATCTCCCAAAATGTCAGATTATTTCTTTAGAATAACAGCGCATTCACAGTTCAAATGGATACTGATCAGAAACTGAAAGCTGACATTGAATGGTCAGATGTGTTATATAGATAACTTATTTTTCTTGTTTTGGTTTATTTAATTCAAAGGGGTCAAACTGAAATACACAGTGGGCCAAATAAAAAAAAATGGGTACTAGTGGAGGGCCGGACTGGTTCAATGTTTATTGCAGAACTTATTGAAATGAACTTATTGCACATATTAAACCTAGAACTAACAAAGCTTAAATTATTGCCTATAAAAACAACATTAAACATTAAATAATCAGTTGCATTCATTTCTTATGGCTCTATCTGCAGCTTTTCCAGAGTCATTTTAAGAACAAACCAAAACATGCCCTGTTGTCTCAAGAAACAAAGTGCAGAAGGAAACATCCATTAAACTCAGTGTGCTGCTCTGTGATGCTAGTTCAGATACTTGGCATCTCATCTTGGGTGCAAGGTCATCAATGTTTGGGCTCAGGCTCTGAGCTGAGGAGACCCTCAGGATGGAGTGAAGGTGTGCGTGCAATATACCAGCGGGCCAGATCTAATAGTAATTAGAAATGATCCTGCGGGCCGAAATTAAATCCACCAAGGGCCTGATTTGGGCCCCGGGCCTTGAGTTTGACACATGTGATTTAATTGATCAGACATTTAATGAAATAAAAAGGTTATCGTTTACATATTGTGTAAGTTTAGTTTTTATGTTAATTATCAAAAAAATAGGCTTGTTTTGAGAGTTTTAACCTTCTTTTTGTCTCTCGTCTCGCTGTCAGATCACATCTAAGGGCAACAACAACAACAAGCCGGCAGAGAGCCGGTTCCCTTCAGTTCGCTCAGAGAACATAAAGAGGAAGATCTGTGAGTATCATTCAGTGTCAATTATACTCATTATTTTAGCATTAGGCTGCCTTCCAACACAGTTTTAAAAAGCGTGGCACGTTCAATTTGAGATGGCAATAAGCTCAACAATGCAGTCCAAAAGTTTAAATGCACTTTTTTGCCTTGATCTTTGGACAAAAGCATCTGATAAATAAATGTAGTGTACTTTTTTTTCGGGGGGGGAAGGACATACTCCTTTAGAGCGCTTTAATGCGGTGCAAATGTATAAACAGAATAGTTTGTATTATCCGACGAGTGCTTAAACTCAGAATAAACTGTGCGCAGATCGAACAGAAAGACAGAAGCATTACATTTTGTATCGATTAAAGATAAAGTGCTATCATGATTACCAGAACAACTCGATCACATGACTAAAAAACATCAGAAAAGTTTCCGCTTTGTGCAAAGTCCTGATGTAACCCATTAACAAACATTTGATTTGACTTATTAGCTGCTTTCACACCAAGTACTTTACTTAGTTCCCAGCACTTAGTTCCCCCATGGAACTAAGAACCGATCGCGTTCACACCGGAATAAGTTCCTGGGGGAGGATTACGCAAATGAAGCCGCTGACGTCACTTCTTCTTCTTCTGCTTTGGGTTTACTGGCAGGCCGCAAACCACTTCACGGCGTATACTGCCGCCCGAAGTCCGCGGCCGGAAGTCCCCGGAGTTGGGGACTGGCTTCCGTAGAAGCTGCTGGGAGTCCCAGCAGCTTCTACGGAAGCCTTCCGAGTAAATCGCCAGAACGCCGACACCTCCTCATCACTTCCAATGTTTTTTTTTTGTGTTGCCATAAGTTATTCTCTCTCCGTTGGTGCGCTAATGCTAATGCTAATAATGCTAATGCCAGCAAATACAATGGCGGCTTCAAAAAACCTTTCAGAGTTTTACGGGCCGTGGTTTGCAAGTCGCCCAGCCAATAGAAATTGGTACTTGTTTCTCCCCAGGAAAGTCCCACCTCTCTAGCAGGGACTACAAATGGGGGTAAAAGTTCTCTAAATTCTCTTTTTGGTGTGAACGCAAAATCCCAGGAACTAAACGGGAAAAGTACTCCGGTGTGAAAGCGCCTATTGAGAGATTTAAATTAATTAAAGATTTGCATTAAGCCTCAGAAAGTGCATCAACGTAATGAGAAAATAAATGAATGTGGGTTATTTTCTGGCATATCGATTCCCATGGAGATTAATTGTAGGCTGCAAAAAAACAAGAACAGTCTCCAAAATGATTTGAACAGCCTCAACGTTTGTGCTGTGTTTGATTTGTTTCTCTGCTGAGTTCAGATACCTATTTTATTTCTGTGTATTTCGTCTCTTCTGTCGCTCTGCAGCCGACTTTGAGTTGTCGCAGCTGCAGGACAAACTGAGAGAGACGGAGATGGTGATGGAGAACATCGTCTCCTACGCCAACCACAGCTCTGACAGGTGGGTTTCACTCTGAACATAATTGAATCTCTCCGCCTCCTACACCTCTTCTCCCGACAGGAAGTACCGGTTTGATGGAGCTCATTTGTTTATTGAATTGAATTTGAACGTGCAGTGATATCATCAGCAGGAAAGATTCAGACAGACATGACATTCACAAGTATGAACACAGATCATTTCCCTTCTGTTATTTGTTCTCATCCTTTTACATAATGAACTATTCTTATTTTGGTTTGATTTTGTATTGAACGTTTTTTTATTTTGCTTATTATATGATATGCTTATTAACTATTGTTTGTTTTGTTCTAACATGTTCAATAAATTATATTACTTTTTATTATTAGTTACTCTGGTAAGCTCTTATTAGGATGTGTGAAAGTAGTTAATCTTTTTAGGGCTTTGTAAGCATCTTAATATGTGTTCTTTTTATTCATTCATCTTCGAGCTGTTTTGTTAAAGTATTCCAGGAAAACTGTAAGAAGATTTAAACTGATCAGCGCTTGAGCCTCCAAAAATGAACAAAATCATTGATTAAAAAATGAAGCATTATTATAGAAGGATATCCACGGAAAATGTGAGATACAAATTAGAGGTAGAATTGGGGAAACAATTACATTTGCTTGATTTCACACAGTAAAGGATAATTCGCGTCGGGCTCCTGATCGGCCTGTCGGTGTTCTTTTCCCCATAATGACCGCGTCGTTGCTCATTATCCCGCTTATTACACGGCCACATTCTCAACAAAGTAACGATATGACTCCCGATATTAATTGAAATGCTTTTGTGGATTTAGAAAATGATTTTATTGATTTAAAAATAGTTGTATGTATTGATTTAAATTGACATGCATCCGCTAAGAAAAGTAGTCCGTTGTTACTGTTTGAACTAACGTAGCAACGGCAGGAACTGCTTCGATAGTGTTTTTGAGGAGCTTTTTGATTACAGATTTGAAAACATCGCCGCTTGCTTTTAAAGTAGCTCAATTCATGATGTCAAACCTTGGAAAGTATCTAGATATCCCTGCCCTAATGCCAAAGGAACTGCACACTGAATATGTGTCGCCGTCTGATGTCTATGTCTGGACCGCTGCGTAAAAAGGAGGGTTTCTGCCCCATTACTTCTGCGCTGTTTTCTTGTCCCTCTTGTCTTTTTCTTTTCTTCACTGGGGACTCATCAGCCACTAACCATTACTCCAAATTACTGTGCTCTCCAAATATGTTCAAATTAATGTTAAAATCCTCCATGTTGCTATCACACGACAGCGGAAAACTAAAGACAATCAGACAGTTTGCTTACTTTTCAAACTGTTACATTTGAAAAACAGTTAGAGCGTCTCTTGTCAGTTTGAAAAGCCAACGGTAGGAACTGCTTGCGTTTTTGAGGAGCTTTTTGATTACAGATTTGAAAACATCGCTCCTTGCTTTAAAAGTAGCACAATTCATGATGTCAAACCTTGGAAAGTATCTAGATATCCCTGCCCTAATGACAAAGTAACTGGCAACTGAATATGTGTCGCCGTTTGATGTCTATGTCTGGACCGCTGCGTAAAAAGGAGGGTTTCTGCCCCGTTACTTCTGCGCTGTTTTTCATGTCCCAGTTCGAAAAGCAAACTGCATGCAGTTTGCTTTTCGGCCCAACGCTATAGGCTACAGTTAAATCGACCGGACTTCTTTCTGAAGATGTGAGCGTCCTTAACAACGGTCAATAAGTCCTTGACAGCGGTCTGTCTGTTCGGTATTAACAACGTGTCACGTGTTCTGAATTGACCAATCACAATCGAGTATTCAACTAAGCCATGTACTAACATGAGTTATTTATTGTTAGGAGTGGAACATGTTCAGTGTGTGTGTGTGTGTGTGTGTGTGTGTGTGTGTGTGTGTGTGTGTGTGTGTGTGTGTGTGTGTGTGTGTGTGTGTGTGTGTGTGTGTGTGTGGTGTGTGTGTGTGTGTGTGTGTGTGTGTGTGTGGCAGGTGTGTGTGTGGCAGGTGTGTGTGTGGCAGGTGTTCTGTGCTGCGTAGCCCCAATATATTTTATTCCATGTCTAAGTAATATCAATTGTGGAACCAAATAAAGTATGTGTGTGTGTCAGGGTGGCGGGGGTGACGGCGGACCAGGAGGAGAGTCTCCTGCAGCAGCTGACGGAGATCACTCGGGTGATGCAGGAGGGCCAGCTGGTGGAGGAGATGACACCAGAGAAGAAGAACCAGGAAGACTGGGAAGGTACATCAAATCAAATCCAAATGTATTATAGCCCCAAATCACAAGAAATGCCTCAAAGGGCTGTGCAAAGCAAACAAAAACAAAATACAAGCGTCATAGCATCAAAATGATAAAAACATTATACCTCAACATTAGTATTGCCATGTGATAAAAGCATGTGACTGAAGGGATGGTAATGTAGATGGAAACTAGGTGATGGAAATGAGTTTACAAGGAAGACAGATGCATGAACGCTCACTGAAGCTGTCTTATAATGTAGAAGGAAGTAACATTTAACCAAATAGGAACATGTTCGGATTTAAAATGCTCTGACAGTATATCTCAGAGGATCATGTGAGACGTAGAACCTGCTTTAAGAATATTGTATCACCTGATAACCAGCCGGTGGTTCCTATAACTTGAAGGAAGTGAGAATGTGTATTTTTGTGGTGATGCAGCTGTGAACAGAAACTAGTGCTTTTACCTTATTTTGTCACGAGAAAACATTCAGATAATCTTAATAACACTTTTTGATTGATTGCTCTTCTTGTACTTTTGTAACCAAAAACGTAGTAGATATACCTTACTAAGCTTCCTTCAAAGTCTCTCTCTGGATGTCATGTGTGCATGAACTGAAACCAGATGACTTCCTGAATCAGAATACCTTTATTCGTCCCACACAGAATGAAAGGAAATCCGTCCAAAATCATACAGGACACAAGATTAGTAGCTAACAGGTCAAACATACGATTTAGTTACAATGTAATGCTGACAATAGAAGAACTTAAAACATAGTGAATACTTAAAACCTCGCCCTTATTCCACCTAGCTTAGCACTTTTGACTTTTGTTGTTATTTGTCTTCTTTACTTGCTTGTAAAGCGCTTTGAGCACCAGGAAAAGCGCTATATAAATGTATTATTATTATAGTGTGATTATATATTTTTGCTATAACAAGTTCTAGTGTCTGGACTCATGGACACATTGATTACACTGCACTAATCATTTGTGAGAGAACGTTCCTAGATTGAAAAGGTATTTATTTCACATACACCACTACAAAGCTAATCATTGAATGATTTTTTTATTGAAATGTGTCCACAGATTATCCCGAGGAGCCTCAGCAGCAGTGGGAACATCCCTCACACTGCTCCTGTCAGCAGCACCAGACCGCGGAGGAGGCGGAGAGGACTCAAGCTGATGGAGCCGACGTGGAAAACCTTCCTGAGGACGTTACAAAGGGAGCAGAGGATCCGAACGCAGAGAGAGAATCTGATCCAGCAGCAGTGAGAGGAGAGGAGGCGGAGCTACAGAGGGAGGAGGTGCCTGAACACAAGCAGGGAGCGGGGGGGATCGACCTGGGCGTCCCGGAGGAGGAGCTGGGCGGAGTCCTGGAGGAGCTGGAGCTCACCCTGAAGGTGACCACGCTGATGGAGCAGGAGAAGATGGACGACCTCAGCAGGACCACGGAGACGGAGACTTCCTGCAGCTCCGTCAGGCGCAGGAACAAGAAGAGGAGAGCCAAGAAAGCCTCACACTGACTTCTTTAAAACTGTTCTGTGCTCCCACCCTATTTACTTGAATACAAGAGAACGTGTATGCAGGGCAGCTTTTAATGAATATCAGCTTTTACTGGCTAGAAAAGTAGAGATAAATGTCTTAAAGGTCCCCTATTGTACTGTTTTTCATCACTATATTATAGGTCTTAGATATATACAAAACATGTCTCTGAAGCAGAGTCCTGCACGGGTCTGATTTTCAAGTCCCGAACCCGCCCCGCCACCCGCAACGTGCAATACCGGACCCGCCCCGCCACCCGCACATATAGCCAATTAGCTGCGCAAACCGACCCGAACCCGCATATCCTATGAGCAGTGAAAACATGCAATTATTAACACACGCAGTTGCATATTTGGCAAGCGTGGGATCCTAGGACGACACCAAAAGCCTCCCAGTTGGATTTCGCTCTTGAGGAAGAGTTATTGAAAATGCTGTATTCTCCGAGCTCCGCCTTCACCTCAGCCATTTAGAATGTGGCACGCTCAGCAGTAGATTGATGCGCTGCAGAGGTTATGATTATGCGTGGTCCCGCGGGGGAGAGGTCTGAGGATTTAAACACTAAACTCAATTATTATATATATATATTTATTATGCAACACCCGCGACCCGATGCAGGACTCTGCTCTGAAGTGTTTGGCTGAAACACCAAACAGATCATTGCAGCATTACCCATAATCCCCTCTGTTTCAGCCCTGTTTCCAAAGTGCTGATTCTCTGTCTGTTACTTTAGATGAACATAAGGAGCCCCTCCCCACGCCCCTCTGAGAGACATTTGGTTACAAAGAACTCAATGGTGCTCTAGGAGGAGATTCAGGTGATAAGGGGGGGGGGGGGTTACCTTGGTTGCTGATTGGCTAATGGTTACTCAAGCCAAAACATCGTCATGACATCATAAAGTGTCCAAAATCTGATCAGCTCATTTTCAGACAGGTTTTTATAGAAATGGATCAAAAAGAGAGAGAATCTTTGTTCCTGAAACTTTCAGAGTCTCTTTCCACAGAGGGGACACATGTTGATGTAGAAGAGACATGAAGAAGAGGAGTAGAAGAGACATGAAGAAGAGGGGACACATGTTGATGTAGAAGAGACATGAAGAAGAGGGGACACATGTTGATGAAGAAGAGACATGAAGAAGAGGGGACACATGTTGATGTAGAAGAGACATGAAGAAGAGGGGACACATGTTGATGTAAGAAGAGACATGAAGAAGAGGGGACACATGTTGATGAAGAAGAGACATGAAGAAGATGGGGACACATGTTGATGAAGAAGAGACATGAAGAAGAGGGGACACATGTTGATTGTAGAAGAGACATGAAGAAGAGGGGACACATGTTGATGAGAAGAGACATGAAGAAGAGGGGACACATGTTGAAGTAAGAGACATGAAGAAGAGGGGACACATGTTGATGTAGAAGAGACATGGAAGAAGAGGGGACACATGTTGATGTAGAAGAGGACATGAGAAGAGGGGACACATGTTGATGTAGAAGAGACATGGAAGAAGAGGGGACACATGGTTGATGTAGAAGAGACATGAAGAAGAGGGACACATGTTGATGTAGAAATACTGAAGAAGAGGGGACACATGTGATGTAGAAGAGACATGAAGAAGAGGGGACACATGTTGATGTCAGAAGAGACTGAAGAAGCGGGACTAACATGTTGATTTGTAGCAGAGACATGAAGAAGAGGGGACACATGTTGATGTAGAAGAGACATGAAGAAGAGAGGACACATGTTGATGTAGAAGAGACATGAAGAAGAGGGGACACATGTTGATGAAGAAGAGACATGAAGAAGAGACATGAAGAAGAGACATGAAGAAGAGGGGACACATGTTGATGTAGAAGAGACATGAAGAAGAGACATGAAGAAGAGGGGACACATGTTGATGTAGAAGAGACATGAAGAAGAGGGGACACATGTTGATGTAGAAGAGACATGAAGAAGTGACATGAAGAAGAGGGGACACATGTTGATGTAGAAGAGACATGAAGAATGAGGGGACACATGTTGATGTAGAAGAGACATGGAGAAGAGGGGACACATGTTGATGTAGAAGAGACATGGAGAAGAGGGGACACATGCTGATGTAGAAGAGACATGAAGAAGAGGGGACACATGTTGATGTAGAAGAGACATGGAGAAGAGGGGACACATGTTGATGTAGAAGAGACATGGAGAAGAGGGGACACATGCTGATGTAGAAGAGACATGAAGAAGAGGGGACACATGTTGATGTAGAAGAGACATGAAGAAGAGGGGACACATGTTGATGTAGAAGAGACATGAAGAAGAGGGGACACATGTTGATGTAGAAGAGACATGAAGAAGAGGGGACACATGTTGATGTAGAAGAGACATGAAGAAGAGGGGACACATGTTGATGTAGAAGAGACATGAAGAAGTGGATTTTGCATAATAGGTGACCTTTAAAACATATCCAAAACATACATATTTACTAAGAAAAAACAGGGACCTAATTCACTTAACGCTCATGACAAATAGACGCATTCTGTAAACGTGCATGACGTTTTTATAAAGTCAGTTTGAAATGATTAACATGCTTCCAGGTCTAGACTTGTGTGTGCGTATAAATGTTTGTAAAAGTAGGTAGACACCCCAAACACTAGGGATTCCTTATAAGGAGTTACTCGTCATATTTAGTTGTTGCACAATACTCTTTGAAATTATTTGATGTTATTTAAAACTTGCACTTGTAATAGTTGGTTTTATAATGTATTACACAGGACCGAGTCAATTCAAAACATGCTTGTTCACTATTTAAAAAGATAACACCAGGAAAAGTATTCTGCCGAGAGGAAACAGCATTACTTTAGCTTATCGGGGTGATCGTACCTTTTCTCGCCTGCTGAACAAACGTCCTGCTACCTTTCAGTCCGAGATGAACACTTTTAGAGCACCGAGGATCCTTCCAACACCCTCAGTGTGATGAGACTGAATAAATGCACTGTCCTGAAATATTGTGACGTGCTTAGTTCCCTGTCGTCCCGTCAGCGATGGAGAAATCCTGTCTTCGGTACCGAAACTATTTTAAGCTTTTTTAGAAATGTGTTGTGTTCTGAATTATTTAAAGATTTATACTTTTGTAAACTGAATTTATGTATTCACTCTTAAGAAAAGCACCTGGAGATGAAGAGATTCAAATACTGTGAATAATTTAAATAAAAATGTTCTCAACTCAAGACTTTGTTTGATTTTACTTTGAAGATCAATATGGTAAAAACAGCTCACTCGTCTGTTTCCCTATGTTCATATTTAGTGCATTTACCGGGACATTTCTCCTTGAGTTCATGTTCAACAAGCTCTATTTTTCCCATACTACCTCTTTTCACCCTCTGTCTGAAACCAGAGCTGCTCTGATTGGTTAGCTGCTCTGATGTGATTGGTCAACCGCTTAGAGATGTCCGGCCCCTTAGCCTATCATGTACAATGTGTTGAGCGCTAGCCAATAGAAACAAGAGTGTGCTATAGTGGTGTCATTACATGGATTTATAATAAGAACTGTATTCAGCGTGGGAGGCGGGGTCTCGTTCGTTCCTATGAGAGCTGCTCATTGGTTATGGCCAGAGCCCTAGAGATACTAGGGCTCTGGTTATGGCTAGAAAGGATCCGGCTTGTGTAAAACTCTCGCGAGAGTTTGCAAGTCACGTGGCTGAATGTTTACGTTTGGCAGGCAGCCTTTCAGTTACGATCGTTAACATCAGTGGGCCACAGCAAATGATGGTGAGAAGCTAAACTATCTATTAATGTCAATTACAGGGAGTGTGATTGTTGAAATAGGGCGTTAGCGGTCTTGCTGTTCAAAGAAGAATGCCAACACTAGATCACCAACACTATGGTTTATTTGTATTCACAGGCAAGTCAACGTTGTCGCAGTAAAAGTCCCAAGATAGCTCCTGCAATAAAATGTTGCCTTTCAGTGTTTTACTGTTATGTCTGATGTTTCTCTATTAATATTGCTGCTGCATTAATGTGTATGTTGTATCATGTTACTGCTGTAGATGTGTTTCCGAGCCGCTCCGATTACAACGAGAACGTGACGTCATATTTGAACAAGACGGATCCTTTCTAGCCATAACCCTGCTCATTGGCGCATGAGGACAACATGGCCAAACTTTTGAGAGAGCGAAACGTCACAGATTTTCCGTCATGCCTGGCTGTCAGAGCAGAAGAACCCGTATGTGCGCTCAGAGCATGCGCCCCTTAAGCCCCGCCCCCCGAGCTCCCACTCTCGGCTCACTAGAATGAATGGAGAAAATAAATCGAGATTCGGCTTTTAATGCGTTTTACAACTTTAAGGACCGAATGATTATAATAAGGGCTATAAAATAGTTAATACTGGGTAGTTTAAAAAAAAGTATCTGCTGATTTACAGACGTCTTTTTCCCCATGTTAGTCAATGGGAAAAAGTCTTTCTGGGCCGGGTGACATCACGGACTGATACGGAAGTTGTAGTACCGCCGTTTGGACACAAACAACGAATATTTTCATCAGTCCGGAGCACTTCCTGGGGGCTTGTTTCATCAGGATACAAAAGAAAAAACAAAGGAGTTTAATGGAGGCGTTTCAGGCAGAGGGGGTGGGAGAGAATTTGTGAGACCATGCAGACCATTTACATGCACACAAACCTTTACAACACACTACAGGAGAGGAAGCTCCAATAAGAATAAAAGGGAGAGCTGCAGCACATTTCAAAAAAAGACTTTATTACTTGTATAATTGGAACGCTTTACTCATACAAAAGCAACATCACATTGGTTGATGTTTGCAGAATATTTTGGATCGACAGTTTTTTTTTTTTTAGCAAGTGGCACATCACAAGAACAACTTTCCCTGCTAACGTTTACTCCTCGGTGAGATGCAGCTAAGTGTGTCGGGCTGGTCTGGGAGGATGTATTGCCCCCCCCCCCCTCTGATAACAGGAAGTAATCAGGACGCCTCAGTGCTCCATCGGCTCGGCAACAACTGGATCTGCACCGGCTGCTGGTTCATCAGGCTGAGCAACCTGACACACACACACACAGAAGTCAGGGTTAGCACACACACATCAAGCACTGAAATTCATATTCAGTAACTATCACCACCTTCAAAAAACGTACAAAAACTAATCTCTTCAATGTGTTTTTAATGTGTGATTGTTGTTTTATTGCTCGATTTTAATGTGACTTTTACAATATTTATTTGTTGTCCTTTTTTACTACCTCTGTAAAGCGACTTTGAGCACCTGTACAAGCGCTTACAAAATAAATGTATTATTATTATAACTATAATGTGGTGTCAAATCGACAAATCTCTTAGCCTCATCCCCAAAAAGCGTGTTTATTTGAACAGTATGCCAGTAGTTAAATCAAGGGGGATGACCAAAGAGCTGGAAACACATCTTACTCCGCGCCAAAATGTCTTAAATACAATAAAACTAGCAGTTTTCAAAAATATACAAAGATCTAGTTTCGATTTGTCAGATTTACAATAACAATAAAACAAAATGTGTTTCTCTAAAGCAGCACGAGTCCAGACTGGACCTGATAACGGTGTTACCTTTCTCTGTGGCCTCTCCTCCAGACCCTCCAGGAACGGGGCGACATCAGCATCGTCGTAAATGATGAACTCCATGTCCTTACCCACAATGCCGATGGAGACATTCTGAAAGGTCGAGAAGTAAACTTAAGAAATGGCCTGTATAACTTTACATTTAAAAGAAGATCAAAGAATCGTCATTGCAGCAGTTGGGCTTCATGACACTGATCTCACTGGAAACTACATTTCAATCAGAAAAGTAATGTAACAAAGTGCAGTTACTCAAATACTGCATCGAACTACAACGTAGAGGCATTTGTTTTTTTATCGAGTCTGTTCTATTTCTTGCCAGTTTCTAAATGTTACTACTTTTTGAAGAATCTGACAATAGGAGCAGGTTTTGTGTTTGTGTTTGTTCCAGGTTGTTCTTATAATAGATTAGACCAGCGGTTCCCAACCTTTTTCAACTCCGGGCCCACTTAAGAATCACATTTTTTTTCGCGGCCCACATTCAACCATAAACAATACGGAGGCTAAATAAAGTTCTGATTGGTCGATTCAGAACATGTGACACGTTGTTAATCCAGTAGAACAGACCGTTGCTAAGGACTTTAATGACCGTTGCTAAGGAGGATCAAGAAAGAGAAAGGAAAATAGGTTATATAATAAAAAAATCTTAATAATGAAATGAATAATGTTTTTGCGACAAATATTGAATTTATATTTACACTCTTTAATATTGTATTTGGACTTTTAGATGAAGACTGCACACAGTTAATAAATACAACTATTCTTCAGGCTAAAATACATATTTTTAAAAGTCAATCAAGGAGTAATCGTAACCTACGGTGTTTGAAGAGTAGATTAAAAATACAATTTATTTTGGAAAAAAAGATTGCCACAAAAAACGAAAGGCTCATCGTGACATGGGAAATAATGAGCTCTATGATCGCCATGTTGTTTTTCTGGTGGTTTTTGGTTGTCAACCTATTTTTGATTGTGAAATGTTGAAGTGATCCGACTGACTGTATCTTTATTTCTTCTGTTTTTGTTTTGTTGTTGTCTGAGATGGGAATGTCATCTCCTATATCAGGGTATATGCAGGAATCCTGAAGTCAAATGTAATTCCTTTTAAGACTTTTTAAGACCTTTTACATACATTTGAAGACCTCATCGCCACTTGGAGTTTTAACCGGTTACCTTGGCGACACACTTTACCTCACATTGACTATATACAGTATTGATTGTCCTTCCTCCTTATCTTCCAACCATTTGGACGCAAGCTTGCATTTCCCCATAACGATGTTGCTTAGCAACCGGCGTAAACGGACCTTTGCGCTATCAAGCAGTGAGCGTGCGATGTCCTGTTCAGATGACGTCAAACCCAACGGGATGCCATCAATAAACGACACAGAATCACACTACACACCTACGCAATGATTACATTCAGGCAGACTGTAGAACACAACCTCTTTGGACAATTTATATACTTATTGAAAACAAGCTACAAAATGTAATACCTTGAAAATGCCGTTTAATATTTTTTAATAGCCTTCATTTTCGCTAAATTGATTTATCAACTTTTATACTTTTTAAGACCCCGCGGACCCCCTGCTTTTGAGACACAGACAGAGACAAAGATGTTTGCTGTTGTGCAGCAGACTCCCATACGTGTCAAACAGGAGTTTAGAGAGTTGTTGTACCTTGGTGGTCAGGTCCTGCTCGCTGGGGAGGGTTTCTCTGAGAGCACGGAGGCCATGCTGCACCAGGTCATTCAGATTACCTGAGAACACAAACGCATCTCACAATTCAAGTATTTTCACTTTTCAAATCAGCCAGTGAAAAGACGATGTAAAGAACTGTTAGAACAATACAGCAGAAAAACTAAAGGAGTTGGTAATGATTTTAAAATGTTAATCATCTTGATGAAAAACCTTGATACGAGAGAACATTATTATTATTTATTTAATATTCTTTAACTTTTTAATGCTATTTTTGAAATATTTTGGACTGTTTATAGTGTCTTGATTTCTCTTATGTACATTGCCTTGTGTTTTTTATGCTGCTGCAACGCACACATGTCCCAAATTGGGATCAATAAATTACCTATCTATCTACCTATCCATCCATCCTACCTACCCACCCACCCACCCACCTACTAGGTTAACCGAAATGTATCCAATAAAATAATAATAATGTGGAAAACATTTTTACAAAAAAAAAAAAAAAAAAAAGATTTAATTTTGAAAGATAAATAAATACATGTTCAAATAAGTATAGAAAGTTTAACCAAGTCGAATTTCTCAAATGTATTGAACTGGTGATCACAGTTCAGTGTGCGAAAAAGTACACGTCCCACCGTCCGGGACGTGTTATTTACAATATCGGACAAGTAGATCTTTCAATTGACTTGTCCGGCGGACAAGTGACGTTTTTCGCCCTCATTTATTGACAAATTATTGATAAATTCAGTTTACAAAAGGCAGAACTCATTCGCAAATTGTACGTGTCCGCCATTGTTCATTTAGAAATGTTAGTTTCGGTTCTGCTTGTCGATTCCTAAGGAAATGCATCTCGCCGCTTTCTGTACAGGGGGCGGGGCGGGAAGTGTAGCACAGTGGCAGGGGCGGGAAGCAAAACTCGGTTCCGAGTAAGAACAAATAACAATTGTCCGGTACCGGGATTAATAAGAGTTGTGAGGACAGGAGGCGAGGCCGAGCCCCGCGGACTGCAGCTCTCTCTGCTCCGTATCAGCTGATCGCTGCACGGAGCAGCTCAGCGTCTCTCTCTCTCTCTCTCTCTCTCTCTCTCGACACACAGCGGATCCGCTGCCCGATTAACAGCCTCATCTTTGTCAAACTTTCTTATGTTCGTTCTCGAACACGTAATGAAGGTTATTAAGCGTTTTAACTCCTGTGTTGTTAATATTGACCACCATTTCCTTTATGAAGTAAAGCAGCCTCCCTGTCTGTGTCCTCGCGCTGTCCTCACATCCCCGGACCCCCAGACTCGGAGGAGCAGGGATGTCAGTATTGTTTATGAAGCAGGGTATAGAAAGTAGCTACATTATTTAAATGAAAATACTATTTATTTACTTTTACAAACAGTGAGCAGCTGCTCACTGTTTGTAAAAGTAAATAAATGCGTGCAAGCGTCTTTGAGTTGTAGAAAAGCGCTAGGCCTATAGGCTATAAATATAATGTATTATTATTAATATTAGGTTATGTCCTATGTGTTGGACATGTGTGGTTGGACTCTGTCTCACAGGCAGGTTGCAGTGTAACATCAGAGGAGACTGGGCCAATTGTACATTCTCAAACTGCACCACTTAGAACTAACTAAACAATGCAGAGATTATTTTTATATAATTGTATTCAATAACCGTAAGAAATTCAACAGTATGAAGTGATTTGTAAATAGGAATACAGATTTAACTTAATGTTTTCATAAATATATTTTTCTCCCAGTTTGTCATGGGACTTATTTTTACCCTCTCAAAGAACCGAGAACCGAAAATAACCGGAATCGAAAAGGAGAACCGGAATCGTTAAAATCCAAACGATACCCAACCCTTTGTGTGATGCAGTAAAATCTTACCGCTCACTTACGTTAGCGGTGTCGTAAAAACCGTGGGAAAATGTAAAATACGATGGCGAAGAAGAAGATTCCAGTGGCCCCAATTTTTGTCCATTCTGGACAAGTGAAAAATGTATTCGGACAAGTACATTGCCAAAGTCACTTGTCCATGGACAAGTACTCTCTAGAAACTTTTTCTCACACTGCAGTTTGAACAGTTGACAGCTATAGGCCTACAGCTTTCATGCTTAAAACATAACTTGGTTTTTAAATGAAAGAGGGATCATACATGAACAACATAACGGGTTAGGGTAACGTAACCCGTGACAACAGAGATCAACAACCTATAACAGGGCCTATGCACAGAATGCAGCTCTCCCCTGAGCATGTCTACATGCTCAGGGGAGAGGCGGGTGCGGAGGCGATTCACAATCAGGTAGAGAAGACCCTCTCAGCTGGAATTTGGGCATAAGAGGAGGTTTGAGTCTGCGTGATCTGCGTGTAGGGAGGGGCAACAGCCATACCATTAGCTAGAACTAGCTAAATATCATGGATTTGGACATAAACGCGAGTGAAGTATAACCGGACGCGAGAGAGAGAGATCAGCACCTGCAGCTCTGCCCGCTGTGAGGGACCGGTGAACGGAGCAAAACACACCTTTAGACCTAACACACTTAGCTGTGGCACTGTCGTATACATTGAATTATTCCATTTGATCAACTTAGGCACCCCTCCCAAAAAAAATATTCATAACTCATTCGAAAACCTGAATAATTTTGAATATTCGATTAATCGTTCCCATCCCTACTACCTACCTACCCATCTAACTATCTAACAATGTCAGTGAAATAAATGTTGTCTTACAGTCAGAGAACTTCTCCATGCATCTCTCCAGGTAGGTGCGGGCAGACTGAGAGCGAGCTCCGATGGACATCGCTTTGCAGTCGAAGTAGTTTGCTGACGGGCAGGTCTGGAAGATGTGAGGGCCCATGTCCTGGGAGAAGAACAACCAAGAGGAGGAGCTAAGGTCAGATTTCAAATGTAAGAAAAAAGAAGTAAGAGAAGTATGATATTAGACTGAGCAAACTTACATCATAGCCAGCAACGAGGAGTCCGACACCATAGGGCCTCCTTCCATATCTCTGTGTTGGGATTTGAGTTTCTGAAGGTCCAGTTAAGGATCATTGTTGACATTCACAATTATTTAACATCACAGAAGGACAACTGTGTGTAAGCACTGATATTGAGATATATATATAGAGAAAATGAGTATATTTCACTACAGATTCACACTAGTAAGGATACTGCTGCCAATAAGAGAGACGAGGCGTGATGCGGGGAGGGGTCTGTCGAAGACAAATCTTGAGTCCAAGCACTCCTGACGCATGAAGTTACTGTAAAAGAGAGGGTGTTATTATACTGCAGGACCCATTAAGTTTACTGAAGAGCTCTGTTTAGACCAGGGGTGTCCAAACCACGGCCCGGGGGCCAAATGCGGCCCGGGGGCCATTTTGAATCGGTCCTCAGCAAATTCAAAAAGTATAATGGAATACGGCCCACAAATGAAACTTGTGCTTGTCGTGTATTGTACTTCTTAAATATATCTGTACACATATATTACACAGTAGTATTCATGTGTTAATAAAACCACTTTTCAAATTAATTCAGTCGATTAAAGTTGGAAACATTTTCTAACAAATCTTAGTTGATAAGAAAAAAGCCCAATGACTTATTTACAAGCTTGAAATACACCCTTCCTATTTCTCCTTATGATAATCAATGTGAGGGATGAGCTGCTAACACTCACAAGCATACTTTACCTACATTTGATTGAGTTTGCTAACTGATAACTGAACTTACGAGGCGGTATACCTCCAGTGAGCGGCCCAGCCCTTCGTATATTTCTCTGTATGTGGCCCTCTGTGAAAAAAGTTTGGACCCCCCTGCTTTAGACAATCAAGGCGGTGATGACTTACCACAGCAGTCTAGCATCAGCAGTCAGTCCAGCAATGGAGATGCCGATGTGGTTGTCGACATGCAGGATCTTCTTCTGATGGGCAGCCAGCTCAGACTGGGCTCTCTGCAGAGACATGAGGACATCAGGATCGAATACCCGTCCTTCAGATATTGCGTATAATCTGTGACATGCTTTATTGTGTGCTATAATACATTTAAAGGTTCCATTACATGGCAGATATTGAACATTTCTTTCATTGTCTGCTATGTTTCCAAATTAAAAAAGGGCAATAATTCACATTCAAATACATTTCGGCTCGAAATATAATATGGTAAAACATTTTGTAGAAGGGAGTACTCTACAATATTGGACATTATTGGAAATATTGACAGACAAGACTTTGAATGAGTGTACCTTTAGTGCAACCAGGACCGCATGGGTTTTGGATTTGAGTCCTACAGTTGCAGAGCCTTGCTTCACAGCCTCCATGGCGTACTCGATCTGATGAATACGGCCCTGGATCGACATGAATCATTTGAATTAGACATTATTCCATGGCCTGTCAGTCATTCAGAGACATTTCATTCCTTTGAGGTGAAAGCAAACAGGGACTCACCTGGGGGCTCCATACTGTCACGTCGTTGTCGTACTGATTGCGAAACTAAAGATAAAGTCATAAATTAAAAGTCACATTTATAAAATATAAAAAACACACAAGAGCTGAGCTTACATAGTTGCCTTGCATTATCGGTGGTTTTCCTCAGTTACACCCGCACAGACTCTCACTTAGGACTACACATGCTCTGTGTCTCCTTCTAATGGACTCCAAGTCAAGACTACACAGGCTCTGCGTCTCCTTCTAATGGACTCCAAGTCAAGACTACACAGGGCTCTGTCTAGTTCAAGGACTATTGTAAATTCAGGTTTTAAATTACTAACACGACTGAATAGTTCATGAGCCCAGCTTTGTGTGTTACCAAGGAGAACCATGCAAACAAATACACGCATCAAACTAGTAGCCATTGCTGAAGCATCTTTTCACAAATGCTTTAACTGCAACACAAAAACCCATTGCTTTACATAACTCCCCAAAACAGACACATCTCTGATCCATTTTAATACTCAAATCTCTTCTGCATAACCGTACACTAAAGTGGCCAGCTAAATAATTCATTGCACTGTTTGAGCAACCAGCAAACATCTGCTCCCAATGTAATGAACTCCTGTCATCACAGCCTACCCAGGTGCACACACTAAGAAGTCAGATTCCTTGTATGTGTACATGCACTATGGTATGTTTTTTTTTTTTACTAAATAGCATACATATACACACACGTACACACACATAGCAGCATATCCTTCTCCACTACTGGAAGATGTGACTCGGGGTGTTCTTAACAGGCTTATCTGGATAGATGGTGCCGGTGTTGTGTCAAATTATGCACCCCGTCGTGAAATGCACCCCTTGACACGGGAACGCGCATTTGAATGTATAGTCCGCTATTCTATGTTGTCTTTTTGATGGTTGGGGTGTCGAATCCTGGATTTTGGATTCATTCGTCACTTCTTTTTCAGTTAATATATGTTTTTAATTAATTGTGACGTCCTGTCTGTATACTTTTGCTTTACAATGTATTGTTTATTTTTACATCAAGTGCTTGAGGGTGGGATTAATAGAAACGTTTTTATTTTGGGGGGTGCTTTTTATGAACAGCCTGGTTGCCACGATATGCACCCCTTGCTATCTCTGACAATAAACGTGCCACATACATGAAACTTGCTCCATGTATTGGTACTAGTCCTACAACTATACCCTCCAAAGTGCTTGAGGGTGGGATTAATGGAAGCATCTTTTTGGGGGGGGTGCATTTCACGACGGGGGTGCATAATTTGACACAACACCGGGACTTAAAAAAGTTCCACAGTTTTTATTTTACAACCTTTACTAAACATTTTGGTAGAAGCATTATAAGATACGATTTAGTTAATTGATCCCACATTTTTCGTTACAGCAAGGCATTGCACATCAAAAACAAAAACAGTGTAAAAACAAAACATTAATATCTCAATATATTAAATCAAACCGGGCTAAAAAATAAAAATGTATACAAGTTGGACGTGAAAGATACAAATCTGTAGACTGTCAAATACACAAAATAAAGGGCCAAATTACTAGCTAAACAATCAAAGTAGTATTTACATTAAGTGTGCAATGAATGGCATACCAATTAATTATACATGTATAATGTATAAGTCCAGTTAACAAAAGACAAACTATGGAGCAGTGAGTTTTCTGCTAGCCAGATGCAATTTATTATAGCAGTTAAGCATTCATCCGTACATAATTTAGTGTGTTTTCTGACTGCTTATGTGTGTTGTCCGGGGGATAAAACCTTTGAGACAAACTAAGTTGTTCCTTGAATTGTGTTTAAATAATGTAGGAGCCACTGTGACAGCGCTAACTCAGTACCGCGGACAGCTAGCTGGTTAAACGCAAACAAGTAGGGGAGTTAGTTAAGTTACAACGGTGAATCGGGACTAGAATTATAATAAATGCATTGACTTCGCAAAATAAGTTTGAATCTAAAGGCCAGAGAGCTGAAGGAAAACGAAAGTAAAAGGCATGAGACTTCATTTTTATGCTAACCTACAGCTAACGGCTACTTAGCGTTAGCCTTCAAACTATCTAAGCAGCTCATTTTGTTTAACACCTATGATAACATCGCGCTAAATGTAAACACATCGGGTCCCTTATAAGCTGTGTTTAATGTTATACGATGCAATACATATTAGCCGTGTACCGTTTCTTTGAACATAACGTCATTTAGCCGGTATCAATGAAGCTAACGTTAGCTTAGCATTAACTGTCGTGTTTTGCTTACTCACAGTGCATAACTAAAGCTAGCTAACGTTAGCTTAGTGTGAGTGAATAAACCAGTTTACTTTCCAAATAAACCAAACTACCGGAACACGCAGGAAGATATATTTACTATGCATCCTTTATAAAGTGTTACATCGATGTAAGTGCTTTAGGTTGAATTCGCACTTACCATCTTTGCTTTAAAGTGTGTCTTCTCCTCCGCCTGTGCTGTGATCCGGATTTGATTTATTTTCCTGACGCGACGTCAGAGAAAACAGTAGAGCACCGATTTGAAATCAGTGATCGATTGAGTTAAGTGGGCTACAAATATCCCATTTAAAAACAAACAACTGAATTCATTAAAGCTCGTTCAAAATGTTGAAATAGCATAAAAAAATCGTTAGATTTTTTTTTAATTAATGTAATGCAAAATCTTTTTGTGACTTAATTTGTTTGTATTTGTATTTGTGGAAGATGTCTTATTTTCAAAGATACAACAATTACTCTATTCACAAACATACTATTTATATTATTATATGTTAGCCCAATTTAACATTCATACAAAAACCCTTAATTTGTATTTACTTACATTTCAAATTGTACATCTTTTACACAGTTTTTAGTTATCATTTGATATAAAAAATAATGGATTTTGAAGTAAGTTGTTGGAACAAAGAGGAGGGTGTGTTGTGTTAAACAGTGTAAGTGGTGTGTGTTCAATATTGCAGGAACAGGCACTGAAGTGCAGTTTAAAGTCATTTTCTTCCGGAATCTGTTCATTTGAGCTTATTTCTTGATTTCCTGTATTAACTGAACAGGTGCAGTGTTTGTGTATGACCACTAGGAGGCAGCAATAAATTAGATAAATAACACACTGGGCTTTTTTACTTGTGGGCTTGACGAGGAACACGCATTTCTGGTGCAGAAACACATACATTAGAGGTTTCTCAATACTCTAATTTCCCCTCCTCGACTCCTATTCTCTTAGTCCCGCCCACAGGAGATGCGAACGGAGGACTGAGGAGGGGAACCGAGGAGAGAGGAGGGGAAATTAGAGTATTGAGAAACCTCTAGAGACTTAAAGATATCCCACTGACAACAAAGGAAGATGTTTTAGGCTCGTTTGTTAATGTCTTTCCGTGTCTGCCAATATGTACGACGGAGAAGTACGCTTAAGATAAGGAAATTCTAGACTTTGCTTCATGCTTTTCTATAAAAGTAATGGACGATGTACACGGAAGTAATGCAGGTCCATGGGCAGTAACTGAGTGTTATTTAAGCTCAGTTACATTTGAGAGTTTATGTTGTAAATTCAGCTTGAAACCTACTCTTTCTATTTGGTAATTACTCACTGGTGCAATAAATAAAAATATGCAACAACAGGTTGAACTTTATTTCGTCATTCCAATTGACATTTTGCAGATAATGTCCTCCTTATTTGTCATTGAAACAAACAATTGAACATTCAGATTGATAAATCAATAAAAAATCGAGATAACATTTGTAAAAGCTCCAAAGCGATCGTAAAACAAAAGCAGCATTTCATGTGCCGTTTGCTTATAATACAAAAAGTAAATGCCATCCATTTTAATAATTCACATTTGATATTTCTGTGACTCTGAGCACTTCAGTCAATAAGTGTCTCATCCACTGAGCTTTTCTCAAAGCTAGAAGAGCAAATACATGACCTTTAAACTGGAGTTGAAGATCTGTCTCTCCTCCACAGACAACAGACTGGACTGTGGAGGTTTTAAAGGTCCCATGACATGGCCATTTCTACTGATCATAATTCCATTGTTGAGGTCTACTAGAATAGATTTATATTGTGCAATTTTCCAAACTCACATTGGTTTCTCATACAGCATCTCTGTATAGTATGTGTATTCACTCTCTGTCCAAACGTAACGGCTCCACGGACGTAACTATACCCAAAATACGTCACTATACCCAAGAAGTAAACAATGGAAAAAGAGAAATCTCCAACGAGGCGTTCTGGGGCAGCACAGACAGGTATTTTCTGTGTTAGAGTTGTACTCGCTACAGGGTGTACTTTGAGGGTTTGTGACTCTGCAGACCGTTTACATGCAGAAAAAGCTTCATAACACACAAGGGGACGGGTAATAACTGGAAAAGCATGGGACCTTTAAACCAAAATGATTTTGAAAGACAGGTTTATTTACCGTGAGCTTTGCTAGAAAAGTAATCTTACTCAGGTTTCACGCGTCACAGTCTGCAGCCTTTTTATTATTTATGAAGCAGCAGCATTTCAATTAAGACGTAAGATGTTTTTTTCCTAATTCATGTCTTTTGGGGAAGTGCCACAGAATCCAGACACATACATCAAATATTTAAAATGACAACAAAATGGTTTAGGTTCAAAACAGTTCAGAAGAATCTTATTTTAAAAGCTTCTGAACCTAAACATGTGAGTAATGCCTTAAAAGTGATGCATCTCTACTGTATATGTGTATTCATGTCTTTATGAGGATTAACACATTTCAACCGGCAGCATGGGTTGCAGTCCTTTAAGAAAGAGTTTTACAAATGTCTTAAAATGACTTAAACACACTGAAAAATCAAGGCTTTAAGTGCTTTCAAGTCTTTGTCCTTTATTCAGTTAAAATGAAAAATATAATAGTTAAATATATAAGTGCAATACTGTAAGGAAAACATAAAATGAAGGTAAGATGTAGACCTAAATTGAGTACAATACATTCAAAGTCACTCATGGGATGGGTAAAAGACAGGAAATGCATCATAAAAATAGATTTTTAAATGTAAGTTACTGTTGTTACATTAAAGTGAACAGTATGCTTACATTAATCATATAATAGTTCACAATCAGATGAATAGATAATGATACTGAATCCCAGTACAGGAAAGTACTTTTTCACAGTATTTCAATTCAGTGTAATTTACAGATACCTGTACTTAAGTATTTCCATGTTATGCTACTTCATATTCATATCTATATCAGGTTGTGTTATGTATTCTTAGAGTACCTATAACTGATGAACATTTTGTACTTTAAAATTCAGGGAAAATAACTTGTAGAATGTTTTTACATCGTGGTATTTTATGCTAAAGTAAAAAGCTCAATGCTTTTTCAATCACATTTGAATCCAAATTGTGAAAGCGAGGAGTTGTTATCCTCTCACGGCTCCATTGTTGCTGCATATTTTTCAATAGTGGAACAGCTACAGGTGGATAGAAGCAGACAGGTGAGCTTCGCCATTAATCCTGTGATAAATCATGTCTTCCAGATGCACCGTGACGCTCAGTCTTCATTACACATGCATTCATTATGTCCCTTTTCTACGGATTAACAAAGTCTCCTGTTTTCCAAATTGGAACACAGACACTTCTCAAGGGATTCAGTCGCTCCTCTGTAGTCAGAGAAATGCCCATCGATAGCCTCATCTCTGTGTCTAGTTTTAAGCTTTTATTTCCTCTGTTAATGATATCTGATGTACCCTTGATCCAGGAGGGGGGGGGGGGGGGGGGATGAATTAGTGAAGCTCTGCTGACGAGCTCTCCTCCTCTGCCAAGGCAGCGGCAGCACGACGGCGGCCATTACATCAGCGCCAACCTCCTCCTTTGTGATTGAGATTGTAGGAGTTGTGCTGAGCTCAGCATGGTTTTTTTCTTTTTTCCTGGGGGCCTCATTTAACTCTGCCAAGCGGCCCCCCAGTTTAATTTTTCAAATGGAGAGCAGCCTGAGTCACTGTGCGATGAGTCCAAGGCGGAGGTGTTTTAGGGAGTAAGAGAGAGTGTGAGAGCTCCCATTCCTCCACCCATTCATGGTTTTGTGCAGTGGTTTAAAGCAACTAAGTAAGGCAGTTCTGGCAGCAAATTGTACAATTTCGTTTTTTCCTTGAGTATTTACATTTTTTAGCTACTTTGTACTCCTACTCCACTACAATTCAGAGGTAAATTGTGTACTTTTACTTCACTACAAGTACCTTTAGTGACTCTCCAGATTTTTTATTTGTGATTTGAATTATAATCATCACTTGAATCAGACTTTAGTTCCACCTGGAGTAAATTCACAAGCTACCCTGCAGTATACAAAGTCATTCAGACTAGCTGCACCTTTACCAGCTTTGAGAACACTTTCATGATCAATCATTATAAAACATATCATATATATTATTCTGAAATGGACAAATCTGCACAATGACTACTTTTACTTCTGGTACTTTTAGTATGTTTTGATGCTAATACTTTTGTACTTTTACGTGAGTAAAATTTTGAAGGCAGGACTTTTACTGTAACAGAGTATTCCTACACTCTGTGGTACTTCTACTCAAATACAACATATAGAGAGTACTTCTCCCACCTCTTGTTTTGTGTTAATCACATTGGGAAAAAGAGTCCTGCTGACACAACCCATCTTTGATTAAGATTTAATTCCGTTAGCTCTCTTCCGATAATCTATTTTTATATGTGATGGCATTAATCAATCAATCAATGTTTATTTATATAGCCCAATATCACAAATGTTACATTTGTCTCAGTGGACTTCACAGTTTGTATAGAATATCAGTATGACAATACGACACCCTCTGTCCTTAGACCCTCACATCGTACAAGGAAACACTTCCAGAGAAAACCCACAGTTTAAAGGGAACATGGGAGAAACCTCAGGGAGAGCAACAGAGGAGGGATCCCTCTCCCAGGACGGACAGACGTGCAATAGATGCCGTGTGTAAATTAAAAAAATAATACATTTACAGCATGGTAGTCCAAATGTTTGGAAATGCATGTGTCTGTAATAAGAAGATGAATCCACGAGGATGTCAACAATCCTGTGGGAGCCATCAGGGAAGTATAATGAGAGTCAGGCAGGACCACAGTGACAGGATCAGCCACGACTCGAAGTCCAGGACTCAGATCAGGACTCAGGACCGCAGCAACAGGATCAGTCATGACTCAGGATCCCGGCGTAGATAGACACCAAAAAGAAATTTGGGGGAAGCTGGGTTATTCAGAACATGAGAGTACACAGGTACAGACAGACAGAAGGGAGAAGTAAGGTGTAGAATCAGCAGAAGTATTTCTTAATCTTGGCTTTTACCGAAGCTACAGGCTAACACTTTTCCCCCTGAATGATGGCCACACAATAGCATATCTTGATTTCCTCCTCGGTGGCTAAATATTGCAACTCTCATCCCCTTGTTGCTTAAAATAGGTCAGCGATGTGTTTTAGAAATGACTGGACTAATAGGCCGGGAGAGGTGTTGGGTCGCTGCCAGAGGGTTGCAGTAGGCTGGCAGCCTCCGGCCTGTACAAGGCG